TTTGTGTCTGCAATATTTAAACTGAAATTGTTTTCTATACCAGTATATTAAATAGTATTATGTTCAGAACCGGCAACTGACGACACCTGTCTAACTACAAGCACCACATGTAAAATTAATCGCTGTCCTTTACAAAATCGTTGCAGAACAAATAAAGCAATTTCTGGCTGTTTGCAAATTTGCTAGCCAATAGTTTGTCATGACTTTCTCTGAGTTGACGGTTGTCAATACCTTTGTAGAAACCAACGCAAGATGGTCTTCTGCCATATCGCCTGCAGCCGAGATCGAACTTGGCAGCCCGGAATTACAAAGAGCAGAGTAAACATTCCATTAGTCAGTTCTTTTCGCCGAAAAAAAAAAAGCAAAACTGATTGTTCGTGAATGTGGGACACTGTCAGATATCGCCTTTCTCAACGCCATCTTTGTGACAAACAAAACAAAAAGTATCGAGAAATCTAACAATGGCGTCCTTGCTGCAGGTGACTGTCGTTGTCCTCAGTCTGGTAAGTTTCTGTACTTCAAATATTTCTTTATAAATTTTATCTATAAACTTACCAACCGTATTGTTATCTCTAACTAAACTTGCTAAACAAGCTGAACAGCGCATAAATGTCTTTGAATGCAAATGTTATAGACGGGTTCTAAGAATATCATGGGTAAATCAAGAGCTAAATATTGAAGAAGGTTAGCTATTAAAGACGATAAAACACAGACAATTGAAATATTTTAGTCAGCTGAAAGGCCACGAAAGTTTGGAGAGAACAATAATGGAGGGGTACAAGTCTGGGAAGAGAGGAAGAGGAAGGCCAAAAACAAAATGGGTGCAGGATGTGGCGGATGATCTACAGATGGGTGTATCGGACGCGGGACATCTTGCTTGTGATCGAGAAGTTTTCCGAAGGGTTGTTATGGGAGCTAAGGTTCTGCAAAGGACATGTTACTGACTGAAAACTAATGACTATTATCTCACAGACTCTTATCTGTTTGAGAGCAGGTTGTAAGTCTATAGAGACAGATAGTTGTCTTTACTGATACGACATAAATAGTCGAAGAAGGCTGTGACAGTTACATGTTTGTCTGTCTTCTTCCTTGTGCCTTTCTTTTTCTATTGTTTCGCCTTGTTAGCCATATTATTTTTTGTTTTCGCCTGCTTTATTTGCTTGGTTTGTAGCAGATTGCGACGATCATGACTGACTGACTGACTTCTACCCCACCAGGACATCACACAAGCAATAAACACCCCATGACACAAAGTGCCACCATGTGGGTGCCACCATCTGCAAATATTTATGGCCAGGCCATATTGCGGCCCCCGGCAAAAGCCAGAGTAGGGCTTCAAACAACGATAAACTTCATCCTGAAAAGGACGAGAAATGTATCAGCGACGATCATGACTCCCAAATGGTCTGTGTCAACAATTATTTTAAATAAATTCATGTTTCCTTTATAATAATATAAATAATAATAATAATAACAATAATAATAATAACTTTTATTATTATGTGATATATGTGTGTTAAACATTTCAGGTATATCTGAAGGAACAAATGGGCTCAAACCTAGTGAGAGCCCTTAAATATATGTTTGGGGTGGTTAAGGTAACGGAGGAGCAGCCTCTGCAAGGGGGAATAAGAAGCCATTACAGCCATGTACAACAATTGTCTCTACGCTTGTTTGTTTACATTTTGTATTATTTCAAGTGTATATTTTTTTTTAGTTGCCATCAAGCAGATTATTATTATTATTATTATAAATATTATTATTATTATTATTACGACTATGATTTTTAGCTAGAATTAGGCCCCTTGAGTCCCTGTAAAAGTTGTGCAGGTGTAGTTTCAAGGTGGGGTTGTTCTCTGTTTCAGGAAAGCATCACTCCTCTATGTCACCCTGTCATATTAACCACGACAGGGTAATTGTTCTGTTCCAAGTTAGCTCAATAAATATATTTGACTTCTTCCTTATTGATTTGATGAGTGTAATTTCTACACGCCTGCTTAGAGACGCGCAATAATGTATTTGTCTTGTGCGCTGCGTGCATGTATTTCAGTGTTTGTGAATATGTGCTTGCTCGTCTGACCGTCCATGCCTCTTTATATGCATAAGACTGTATGTCTACCATGCAACAACATATTTGTATGTTCTTTACGTATAATTTTGATGAATGATTAACGTACTCCTAATCTCCATGTGGGTTCCATTACCTCATTTTTTGGGAGGTAAAAGAAATAGATCCCCCTTCCACCCCAGTCCCCAACAATCATTTCTTTAAGTCAACTCAAATCCTGGACCGAGATCAAACTCTAGAAGTGGATGAACAGTCAGCATTTTCCTCTGGAGTTTACAGCCGTTGAAATCTAAGAAGACAAAGATGCATTCGTATGACCGTACTATTTCCGAATTTAAACATATATGTATATATATTTATTCAGTTCATTCAGGCTTCCCGAAGCGAACCAGACATAATCCGAAAGAGCGTGGATAGTTTGATCCCAGAAGA